CTGTGCATTTCTGGCCAAATGACCAGTGCTTCCAGAGGGGTATTTTGTGACACAGCCCCTGGCTGACAGTGACACCCTGAACAGCACCACGACAGGTTTGCAGACACAAGGAGAACGGGAATAGCTGGGCTTGGCAATTAGACTTGTTGACTCCTCTCCTACAAGAGACTTTTTTTTTTGTTGTTCTGAAAAAATAAAAGTGCTGGTTTATGCTGAAGACAGTTGATCTTTAACAAGACAGCAAAGGATTGATACAGCAGAATTTTGCAGAGCCTGAAATAGCTGCCAAATTCAAGAGGCTGTTGGGAAATAAAAACCAACAAACATAGTCCTCTAAGGAAAACCTGGTTTTGTTAAACAAGGTCACATTGTCTTTTCGTTGTTTCTTTCCTTCTTATTCTTTTTTCCTTACGTGTTCCTACATCTGCAGAGTTAGGGAGACCAAGTACCAGTTTTCCCATGTTCCCCTTTGGAATTCTACAGTATTTCTTCTGCAGGAGCAATTAGTATTTGCTGTTGTTTTAAAAGAAAAACCCTACAGAAATAAAGGAAAAGTATGACTCACTGAGAGACCAATAATTAGGTCATGTGTTCAATTAGTTTTCATGCTTAAGTAGTTACTCTTCAGGAAATGCTCCCCCTTTGATGTGCAGCAGCAACTTCCCAATTAATTAGGCAGAAAGAAGCAATGAAGGAATGAAACCTCAGAAACCTTATCAAAGCCCAGAGATCTCTAATGAGGGGAACAACAGCATCAACAACAGACAACTGGCACTAAAAGGTAGAGGCTTTCAATGATCCATTTCAAGTATCTTGGCTGTACTTCCTTTGAAATTAAGAGAAAACTGTTGGGAAGCAGACGAGAAGAGCCTGTTTGATCAGAAAATCACTGTTTCCTTGAAGGCTTGCCACAAAAGAGATAATCTACCCATGCTGGAGGAGGTGTGTCCTCAGAGAGCATCACTCACTGGTGGAGGCAGGAGGCATCACACAACAGGTGAGGTGGGATCAGAGACACACAGGAGAGCCCCTCATTTAAAATCTGCATTAAAACCCTGGGCACAGTGAAGCACGAGGGGACACAGTGCTGGGAGTCCCAGCCTGGCACCAAGCACTTGGGGGAAAGGATCATATACAGCCACAGCTCAACTAACTAACTAACTAGTTAACTAACTAACTAACATTCTGCCCGTGCCCACAGAGGAGCAGCAGCCAAGCCTGTTTGGGATCAGGCCCCAGTTTCTCAGCTCCCTCAGGCCCTGCTGCAGTCCTGCTCCTGGATGATGTCACCTCTGAACCAAGGGGAAAATGGGCACAGCCACATCCACTGAATGGGCTGGGAAGACCCAAAACAGTGCCCAGATCTGCCAGATCAATGAGTGCAGACATGTCACTGCCTGTCTCTCAACAACTGCCACGATGTGAGGGATGCAGCATCACAAAGAGAACTGCACAGGAACAGAAGCCAATTGCTGTGGGACTGTCCCCCCACCCTCAGTGACCAGGGATGCTCCAGGAGCAGCCATTCCCAAACACCAACACTTGCTTCCAACCCACCCTTCCCAAAGGCTTTCTGAAAGTTTATTTAATCTTGTCTTCTAGATTTCCCCAGTCCTTCCCCCACCCAGGATTTTCATCCCCCTTCCCAGCTCCTTTACCCCAGGGATCCCCTTCAGGTGGAGCCATAATGAAATCAGCTAATTCCATTAGAGAACTAAAACAGTCAAAATGACTCTCTTAGTGCAAAAGGAGGAAACTGAGAGAAGGAAAAGGGAGACACAATGCAGCACCTGAATTAAAAGATCAATACTGTAACTGGCTTTGTTTTATTTAGGCAAGTGGGTGTAAGGGGGGGAAATTCTTTGGGCTGTGATGTTTGGAGCTCTTTGGCCTTGCTGGTTGTTGCACAGGGTGTGCAGGAGCCCTGGAGCTCCTGACCTGGAGGGGCAGGAGGGGAGTGGTGATGCCAAATTACAGACTTGCTCTGGGGAAATCTTACACAGGCACAAACCTCTCACACCCCATTAAGCTACTTATCAGAGGATGTAAAAAGTCCCAAGTTCCACAGAAGAACTGACCTTCAGCTTGAAATAAAGGTCTCTATACAGCTGCAAGATCCCACTACAGCAGTTCTGTAGGATCTCAGAACAGCTTGGAGCACCAGAGGAGCGTGTGTCTGACATCCTCCTCACCTCACCTCTGCAAGGAAGGGTTTATGAGCTGCACATTTTGGCCCTCCTGGCAGGACTGGGAAAGTTCACCACAGAATAAGGAACAGGGCTGCAAAAAGCACCTGGTGCAGGAGTGACACTGGGATTCATGGGGAGCAGTAAAATCACAGCAGAGGTGTCCAAATGATTGAGCAAAAGGGAGAAAAAGTCCTGTGAATGTTCTGGTCAGTTTAGAGTTAAAGAGAGAAATTGGTCAAAAGCCACTGCCAACAGAGAGAAAGCAAATCTATAATTTCATGCAAATTTAATAAGCATATGCTCCAGACTACTTCATACCAGGTCCTTTATTATGTAAACTTGCATCATCCAACTCACAGCTCTGCCCTCAGCTGTGCAGCCCCTTCTCAGGGAGGGAAACTCGGGGAACTTCACTGTCTGGGCAAGGCTGGGAGCCAAGGAAGGAGACAGAGGAGGAACAAAGCCTGGCACCCTTCTAAGCAGCCAGCCCATCCCACAGGCTCTGTGCAAGCATCAGTGCTCCCAGGGTAGCTGATGCTTTGACACAAAGTGCTGGGGTTCAGCTCTGACAATTCCAGCCAGCAGGATGCAGAAAACACACTCCCTGCAGAACACCTTCACCCTTCCCACCAGCCCCTCTGCTCAGCTCTGCAGTGCCACAGCACAGAGCCAGGTCCCAGGTTCCACTGATAAATGGAGGTAAACTGGGACTCACAGAGCAGTAACTCCTGCTCATAAAAATCCCCACGAGCTCCTGCATCTCCATAAACCATCTCCCTGCAGCAGCACTCGGAGCTCGCAGTCCATTAGTCCTATTTTCAAAGTCTGTTGACTCTTAAACTAAGGCAGGTTCCTGCCTTTGGCATGGCACAACGTGCAATGAAGCCAAGAAAACTGAATTTACACCTCAATGACAGGGAAATTATTTGCTCCTCACTGCCAGCCCAAGCCAGAGCACGGCTTGGCTTACTCCAGGGTTGCACCTAATGCAGGCAGGTTCTGCAGGGGGTAACAAATGAAGGTCAGAAGCAGAGAAATCCCATTTCAATATGATCAATTCCTTATCTAAATATTTTAAATGCAGAGCATGTGAGGAACCTCCGAAAGAAATTCCAGGTATTTTATTCTGGGCAATTTAAGTGGTACAAAGTGCTGCCTCAGCCAAAGGCTCCCCTTTCCCACGTGTTCCCTGGATGCTCCCTGCCAAACCCTCTGCTCCAGGCCCTGCCACCACCCAGCCCCAGTCCCACTGGGCTCCTCCAGCCATTCCCCAGCCCACCAGGCTGCAAATTCCCAAACCAGGGGAGCAGTCCCAGGAAAGGTGCTGTGCCTTTCACTCCCTTTTCCCCTTTCATTCTCAGCTGCTTCAGCAGCCTCCTCGATCCCTGTAACTGAACCCCCTTCTAGTTACCCTCAAGTTTAACCCCTGCCCTGCCCAGTGAAACTCAAACCCCACGACCCAAGGGAGGGTTGGTGAAGAGCTGTCTTGGTTTCTTTTCACTTTTTCACCAGCACCTCAATTGTCACTGCACTGAGCTGCAGGAACCCTGACTTGTTCAGAGAATTCTTTATCAAGACAGATCGAGCCCCAGCTCTGCCATCTCCTGCTCCCTCCCCAGCACAATCTTTATTTGAGAATTGCATGATCTGTCTGAATATTGCTTAACTGCGGGATTTTGCAGATGAAACAACAGCTGAAGTGGTTTTTACTCCCACAGCACACAAATTTATTTAGCTACACAACAATAAAGCAAAGTCTTAAATTTAATCAGAACAAATACTTCAAGCAACAGCAAGCTGATAAATTATTTAGAAAGGGGCTCAATAAGACCTGGAAGGAAATATCCATCAGCTGTGCAGCCTGGGAGCTTCCAGAAACAAGGAATTTTCATGCTTTACCCATTTTACAGCTTTTTTCAGCTAAGCTGTTTGTACTGAACACAAAGGGGGATGTTTGAACAACATCCTGCAAGGACTGGCAGCGATGGCCCAGGACTGGTCACAGTGTCCATCCCTGTCATGACCCAGTACCAGGAATTAGCACCATCTGTACATTCCCAACAAGGTATTCCTGACAGGCAGCTCGTGCTGGAAGGACCTGACAGCCTGGGAATATTGGCTATTTCAGAAGATTTTAATCATTGGGTCTTTTTTTCAGACTGCCCTGTTTTCCCCAAACTGTCTTCCTTCCCCCTGTTCCAAACCACTCCAAACCACTGAGAATCAGACCAAACTAGATGTATTAGTATTTATATGAAAGCTCTAGTAAATTCAATAATGTTCCTATTGTTTTATTGCACATGGCACATCAACTTCTCTTTATTACTGCAGAAAACTCAAGAGCCCTGTGGAGTGCAATAAACCAGGACGCGTTTGGCTTTGCAATGTTTCAGGGGCTGTGATTTCCTGCAGGAACCAGGAATTCACCAGGAATTCACCAGGAATTTACCTCCACCAGGCCCACGCAGGGAACCTGCTCCTTCTGACCTGTCCCTCAGCCCTCAGTACCAGGGACTCCACTACAGAGCACAGAAAAGGGACTGTTTTCACCTTTGCATCAAGATGCTTCACTCTCCTTTTTGATTTCAGGCACTATTTGAATTTTCTGCCAAATTCTTATTGTCAATGTACCACAAGGAAAAACGTCAAAGTAAATTCTTTTGTCTTAAATATAATATCTACCATAAATGCTTCAAGACAAGCCCTTCTGATAGAAACATACTTAAAAACACTTCAGGAAAAGGCATTCAACAGACCATGATGCACAGCCATGTGAAGGTTTGAGCAGGCAAACAGCCCAGGGACACTCACCCTTGGCTGCCAGTTCTCGTACTGCTTCTGCAGGTTGGCCCCGATGGTCTCCAGAGCCTTCTGAGGCCCCATGGACAGAGGATCTGGGAACAGAACACAGAGGAGCATTTCTGACCCCAGCTGAACCCCTCAGACCATTGAGAGTTTCACACAGGTTCCTCTCATGACCGATTTCAAACTCACAAACTTGTCATTCCTCATGGAATTTACCTGGGGGCAACACCCAACTTTGACACAAATCCAGTTCATTACAGACTGTCAAAGCTGGAGGATTTCTCTCACTGAGCTACTAAACACAATTTAGTTTTGAAGGACAGGAGAGGCATTACATCTGTTTCCTTCAATACTAAAAAAGGTTTCTATTGTAAACAGCGACAAAAATTCAAATTGATTAAATATTTGATGATAAACATTTTCTCTTGATGGATGAAAGTCCTGCTTCATTTACTTCCTTTGCTTCTTGTTTCTCAGATTACGTGCCATTTGTAATATTTTAGAAGTTAATTTTATCACTAGATAATTACAACCATCCATACACAGCAATACAATTCCAGTCTATGTGCTTTATTCAAACACCATGAACATATAATTACACTATTAACAAGATTAAAAAAACCAAACAACTAGAAACTAATATTTCACTATTTAATATAAATTATTTTAAAAGCACTTAACCAAATCAATGAAGAGGTTTTTTTTAAAATTTTTACAAATATTCTACTTTTGTTGGAAAGAAAATATAATAAAGTAGGATGAAAGCAGGATTGTATGAGTTATTTTTCTTTAATGAATAAAAGCTGGGATCTTATTTAAATTATAGCAGTAGACTGCAATTGGAGCAAAAGGAGTTCCACACCTCCCTGCACATCTGCAAAGACATTCTCCCACCCCCCACTCGCTTCTCCTGAGACTGGGGCAAGGAAAACATCCCATATTTCTGCAATTACCTTCCTCAGAAGTATCAAGTCGGCTGGAAATGGAAGGAGCACTTGTGTACACACACACACTGAAAATTTAATTACAAAACCGCATTCAAAATTCTCTTTGCTAATGATAGGCACTAATGACTTTATTCAAATGCCTCTGCAGTGCTCCTCATTCCCTTTGCTCTCTGCCCGGGTGTCAGTGGGACACCAGAGCTGTTCCCTCCCCTGCACTGGTGGATCTGTCCCTGCCTGCTCAGGGCTCTTCAACTGCTTCAAAGTCAGCAGCGTTTTCAGGTTAAAAACCTGAGATGCTGGGATTCATGAAAGCAGGTAAAGCAAGGTTAGAAACGAGATCTTCTGAAAGTTTTTCCTTTAAAATTCCGTTTGTGCCGTGATTAATTTGCTCCTGAGGCCTGTCTAAGCCCCAGAGTTGAGGATTACAGTGGTATGTGCTGGAGGCTGAACGTTCCCCCTTCCTAGATAAAAAACAAATCTCTCTGAGAAAGCTTTTGTACACAACATATTTCCTTCTAATATTACTTCAGATTTGCCTCATCTTGATAATCAGACTTTTTTCTCCAAAAACCAAGGGAACTTTTCATTGCTTCACAAAAAGACTGGGAATTTAATCCAACGGTGCATCAAACTAGCAAGACCAGGTGTTGGAACTGCTGGCAAGACATCCTTGGGAATAATTCCAGGTCTTCTGAATTCATGTTTCCAATTAAAACAGCCCTGGAGCAGCCACCTCAACAGGCAGCAAAGTCCTTGCATTTTACAAACCTCCCTGCTCTGCTGTGTGAGGCAGCAGAGGGGGATTTAAAGCTTTGCAGACCCCAGAACTCAGAGGATGGAACTGCTCACAGACTTCCTCAGCTATTTATAAATCTACCACAATTAAAAGGAAGCAAAGCAGCTCATTAACAGCTGGTTTGCTCCATGGTATCTCATTTCAGAACAAAGCAGGACATGACCTAGGGCAGCAGTTGGGGCTGGACTCTCCAGTGACCCACAGAGAGAGAGAGAAATCAGACCCCAGATTTCCTTTTGTTCACCCCAGCTTTAAGTTCAGGAAATTCACAACTTTCAGGAGACCTTCTGTGCTGTGGCTCAGTATTTGCAGGGCTCAGGGTCAGCACTCACCGATCCAGCATTCCAGGCGGGCACAGGGAGTCGTTTTCACCACATCAGGAGGGTCCACGCCGACATTTAGGCACAAAACTAAGGCAACACTTACAGTCTTCATCTGCAAAGACAGGCAATAACACACCTACTCAGTGCACAAACAACAGCAACTTTCACTTGGGTTCAAATTTTACCACTCTGAGAACTTTTGAAGGGTTTCAACCAACCCCTCTTCCCTGCCCTTTCACATGGACTATTTTGAGCAAGGCCTGACTGATTAGATTTTTCATATTTTTTATTAGAACAGTACTTAGACTCTATGTTACTATTTTTATTATTATTTCCAGAGCCCATTCTTCTCTTTCTGAGCATGGAAATAGATATGAGTGAACTTCTGCTACTCATCTTAAATTAGCCATTGTCCAGCTGAAACATATTATTAAAACATGAGGGAATGCTATTCACGGTCCCTGATCAATATTATAATGTAGTGCATGATCTCTAATATTAAAAACTAAGCATATTACAATGGAAAAACCCCCAAGTGACAAACTAAACCTTAAAATCTGCAAACAAACAAACACACATTAAAACCAAACACATTAAGTCCATTTTTTCTTTGTTTTCTGCACACCTGAGTTACCCTGAAGAGCCTTCTTAGGAGAAATCCTGTCTTGGCTCCCTCCCTGGGCCTGTTCCAGCTGCTCCAGCATCACCCTGGCACTGCCCAGGCAGCACTCGGGGTTGTGCCACGTGGGCACCATGAAGGTACCAAACCCAAGCCCACCAAACTTCACCTGGGACCAAAAACCTGCATTAAACCAACAGCTGAGCACCACAGCCAGCTAAAAACACTGCTTGAAAACTATTATTGCACGTTTCATGGTCTCTTCCACACTCCCTCGTCCCAACCCCTAAACCAGAGAAGCAAAACAAAGGCTCCCAGTAATTCCATCAGTGCTTGTCTGCACACCCACACCCCCACTGCAATTCACAACAGGAGGGGGAAAAATCCAAAATGTCACACTTAGAGAAACCCTAGAGCCACACAAATGTATAATTTATAAGGAAACTGGAGCAGCCAGACACTGTTCCTGCCATGGAAGGGGGACAGGCTCAACACCAGGACAGAAATCCGGCGGCTTTTCCTCACTCCCATGGCCATGACAGGGAATATGGAGTAAGGATCTAGCAAGAGATGTGGTTAATGGCTTCATCCCAAAGTGTGCTCTTGCTAACAAACCCTGCAATCATGCAGGAGTTCCTCGTGCCCAGGAGGGACCCAGGAGGAAGCAGCACTTTGCAGCACAGAGATGAAAACAAGAGTCTGAACGGGGATCCCCAGGATGTCACGAGGGTTCCCGAGGAGCCACACATGGATGGGGTGGATCATCATGGGATGGAGTTCAGCACTAAGGACAGGTGCACCCTCCTCAGAATTCCAAAGAATCCACAGTCCAAGCAGAGGTATTTGCAACATGAGGGGCAGCAGCGAGGTGCAGCTGGGTCCTGCAGACCCGTCACTGCTGCAGAGTGTTATGGACCACCCAAAGCACCACCCAAACTGCTCCCTCCCCAAAACACCCCATCATTACACAGCTCCTGGCACTGCCCTGCCCACAGGGACACCTTTCCAGCACACTGCATCATCTGCCAGCCCACAGGGCCACAGAAAACCCACAGTGCTGCAGGGTGTGGAGGGGTACAAACATCGCCAGGAGTCACCATGTGCTGGCAAACACACTGAAAACCCTGAAGGAAACACAGGAAACTACAGACAAAATAACTTAGGAGGCATGAAAACACATAAATCATTCCTCCAAGAGAAAGTATCCTGCCAACCAATCTTCTCCATCTCCCGTATTTATTGTTTCCCATTTGCAGTCTAATACTGACTTATTTTTCAATATTTTGCCAGTAATGTCTGATCGGTGACTTATGCTGAACAGGCTGAGATTCATCTTCCATTCCCAAGTTCGGGGTTTTAAATAAGCACCTCTCCAGGAAAACTGACAGCAAACCCCTAATGAAAGGAACAGGAACTGATCCCAGAGACAAATGGGGTGATTTCCCCTCTGCCACCTCTCCCAAAGGACATAAAGTCTCACACTCCACTACGACTCATTCTGCAAACAACAAGCACACCCTCGGGGAGAATTACAGCTCACTCCTGTCCCCTGACCTGCTCCTCCTCATCCACCCCTGAGGGTGAATCACAGACTGGCCTGGGATGGAAGGGATCTTAAATCACATCCAGTGCCACCCCCTGCCATGGGCAGGGACACCTTCCACTGGCCCAGGTTGCTCCAGCCTGGCCTTGGACACTTCCAGGGATCCAGGGGCAGCCACAACCCCTCTGGGCAACCTGTGCCAGGGCCTCCCCACCCTCACAGCCAAGAATTCCTTCCCAATATCCCATCTAACCCTGCCCTCTGGCAGTTTGAAGCCATTCCCCTTGTCCTGGCACTTCGGGCACTTGTAAATAGTCTCTCCCTCTTTCCTGTAGTCTCCCTTCAGGTCCTGGAAGGCCACAGTCAGGTCACCCCAAAGCTTCTCCTCTCCAGGCTGCACAATCCCAGCTCTCCCAGCCTTTCCTCCCAGCAGAGCTGCTCCATCCCTCTGACCATCCTGGTGCCTCCTCTGGACTCTCTCCAGCAGCTCCCTGTCCCTCCTGTGCTGTTCCCCAGGGCTGGGGCAGCTCTGCAGGGGGGTCTCACCTGAGGGGCAGAGGGGCAGAACTGCCCACGCTGGGGGATGAGCCCAGGGCAGGGGGGTGCCAGCACACACAGCAGACAAAAAAAAACCCCGAGCCCAAAAAACCCAATAATAACCCTTTTGACATTTCTAAGCTTTTGGAACACGCCAGAAACTGCACTGCATATTTAAATCTTTTTAATACAAGAATATGAGGACCTTCTCATCTGTCATTAAGACAGTGGAAATTTTCTTTTTCCCATTTCAAGAGTATATCTCCCAGAATACATTTCAATGGATTTTTGTTAGAATTAAAAAATGAAGCAGAAGAATGTTTGGCAAGCTGGTAAGAAACCCAATATCCAAAATGCTTTCTCAGCAAAGGCTCAAGATCAGACCACAGCAGCTCTTACTGTGGGCTCTGCACTGGGGAGTGTTTGCATGTTAAAAAAAAAGGTACACAATTCCCAAGCTTGTATTGCATCCAATTTAAAATGGGTTAATAACTCTGGGTCAGAACCTGCAATAGCTAAATTGCAAAATCCACTCAGCCAAAATGCTCTTTCTGAGAAGCAATGGTATTGAATTCCTCCCCAAACCCATCGGAAATGGGGCTCAGGGAGCAGAGGGAGTTCTGCATCTGCTCGGAAAAGAAGATGCTTTTTAAAGCACCTGACATAAAAATTTACATCTTATACTCAGGATTGGAAAACTTGTAAAATATTTCTAATTCACCTCTTATTTCATTCAGAGATCTGCAGGTGAGCACAGTGCACTTTCTGCAGCTATTTTCAGCCAGAAAAAAAACATTGCATTATCTCCCTAAGAATGGGTTTGACTGAAAATGTGAACTTTTATCATCACAGGGAGCCCACCTGATCCTATTGGAGCATCCCTGAAAGTGATTCCAGCCCAGGCTGAAACCAAAACAGCCACTTTCAGCAGTGCTGGATTTGTTACAGCCCGAGTAAGAACAGTTTAGTAACTTCTAGTTCAAGTAATACCAAGAACAAGCCAATGCATTTATGAGAAATTTTACATTTTGTGGTACATTTCAGACTGGACATTTTAAGACCCATAAATATTTGATTTCTTCACTGCAATTTGCAAGCTGAAAACTTTCTCTTAAACATTACCCAGAAGAACACTCAAGTGCTAGAAACCTGCCTGGGTTTATGCCAGTCAGTTCAAATTGCTTCAGTGAGTTAATATAAACACAAGATTAAGTCAGCATTAAACAAGAAATATACACTGCTACGTTATTTTACAGAGTTGGGGGTGAAGTTATCAACATTAAACACAAACACTGGGACAGATTTCCAGATTCCAAATCTTCCTCTCAGTCTCATTTGGAAACCCTCACTGGCCAGGAGGCTCAAATCCCTGCTTGTGCAGGAAATTCATTCTCTTCCTAAAGGCTTCTTTTGGACATTTTTACACAGATTTAATACAAACCTCTCAACCAACAGGCAAAGCCAGCGAGGTGTTCCACAGGTGACTCCAGGATGTTGGATCCTTTGGAGATGTGCCATTAGACTCCCCAGCAAGGAAGTCTCCAACACCCAACACCGGCAGCAGCATTTAACAACACAAACCACTGTTCTCCCTTCGGAGTCCCAGTTCACTCTGCAGCACCAGAAAATCGTGTTTTCCCCAGTCCTTCCCACTTTGGGCTCCCAGCCCAGAGGTGACAAGTGAGGACAACGTGCCCAGGCATCGTTCCCAGGGCTCTGGCACCACGCTCCGCTGAGGAATGCAGGTCTGCAAATCAGCCAGGGGAAAGGCTGAAAAGTGTTGAACAGGCACACAAACCCTGACCTTCCTGGTCCACTCCATCACAGAACTGCACACAAACCCAGTGAAAGGGTGCTGAAGCAACTCAGAACACATCCCACGTGGACACAACTTATCCCAGTCCAGGAACACAGAGCCCTGCTGCCTCTGCAGCTCACCTGTACCATTTGCAAGGTAAAAACATCTAAAAGAGGAAGAGCTTTCAGCTTCAAGGAAATTTTTTTAACGCAAAGTTTAAGATAAATAAATTGTTAGGGAAAAAAACCCTCCATGTGCTTTTCCACAGCAATAAAAAGAGTAGAATGCAAAGAAATCCTTCGAGATACCATTAATAATTCAACAGCTCTGCAGGTTGTCTTCAGCCATCTGCAGCCCAAACGGTGGGTTCCTGGGGTGCCAGCCTGCTCTAGATTCCTAGATCAACTCCTCCACAGGGTTTGTGTTCCTTCTCTAACCTCTGTGTTCAGCACTAACACTCTGAGTTTTCTTCAGAGGTTTATTATGTCCAACATGTTCATTTGCCCAGCGCAGGCAGCTCCTGTACATGGTTCACGTGCCAGCAGTGACACAGCTCCTCACAAAACACACCTGGAAATGCTGCCTTCACTGGGTACTTTATAAGCACTTCTTCAG